AGATGGCACAGGTGTAATCATATGTGTGTTTTCCCCAAGGGTGTACATATCTACCCTACATGTGACACAGGTGTAGTGACGTGTGTCGTATCTTAAGTAGAACAGGTGATGCTAACAGGTGTGTTAACCCCTTAGGTGGTGCAAGTCAGCGGGGAGATGGTTGGCGGTAAGGACCAATCGTGGCTGGTGGCCCTGGGTACACCGGTTCCTCACCCCTCCAACATCGAGTTCCCTCTGGACAAACAAACCTTCGTCAGCAAGCACTCCCTTGATATGAAATTCACCTACGTCGACGACAAGTAAGTCCCCTTTACGACCTTACCTTCCCATTAAGAGGACGATAACCTCAGCACCTTTTCAGTCTCCTCTTCCTTCTGACCTCTTCCTCTTAGGTTCTCTTCTTCTAGGATTACCGTCTCTTCCTAGAGTTTCCCTCTCTCCTAATTACCCCTCTTTTAGAGTTTCATCTCTGGGACTCCCCTCGTTTCTGCTGTCTATTTTCTCCCTAGGCTCCTCTCTTTTCTAGGTTCCTCTCCTAGGCTCCCCTCTTTTCTAGGTTCCTCTCCTAGGCTCCCTCTTTTCTAGGTTCCTCTCCTAGGCTCCCTCTTTTCTAGGTTCCTCTCCTAGGCTCCCCTCTTCATAGATTTTCTCACCCCTTGGTCGACGACAATTAAATGCTACAGAACCCCTTACCCTCAGATGAATGATGTGTGTTTACCCCTCAGCCTACCCTCTACAGGTGTCAGGGCGCGAGGAAGCGACAGGTTTGAAGCTGTTTATATCCCTAAGTTGTAAAGTTTCTACCTGAGTTATAAACACCTATGCAGGAGAAAGATAAATTATATGTCTCATTCTATCCAGGTTTAGATTGTATAAACATTAGGCGTGTTGTGTTCAAACCATCATGGTATATCAGGAATGAATTTCAATAACATGATATAGAAAACTTTAAACAATTAGGTCAGTTAGATTGATATGAGTAAATGTGACCTTAATTAGTTGAAGGGAAGGTAGTGGTTATAATGAGTTGTGTTACGGAGTCTTTGTTGTATAAAGGTGTTGTGATAAGGTAGTGTTTGTAAGATGTGTTTATCAGTGTGTTATAATCTCTCTCTCTCTCTCTCTCTCTCTCTCTCTCTCTCTCTCTCTCTCTCTCTCGTATATTTACTGTTGTTTTTGTTGCCGCCGTGTTGGTGAATTCTGCGGCTACAGCGTCGAGGAACTGATGGGTCGCTCCCTCTACGAGATGCACCACGCCCTCGACACCGACATGGTCAAGGACGCCTACAAGACATGTGAGTACCCATACCATTTATTTCTTCCTTCTTCGTGGACGCCTGCTGCTAGACGGTGCTAGTGTCCCAGATGGTGCTGGTCTCTGGTCCTCAATGGTGCTGGTGCTCTGGAGGTGGTGCTGGTGCTCTGGAGGGGTGCTGGTGCTCTAGATGGTGCTGGTGCTCTAGGTGGTGCTGGTGCTCTAGGTGGTGCTGGTGTGGTGCTCTAGATGGTGCTGTGGTGCTGGTGCTGGTGCTAGGTGGTGCTGGTCTCTAGATGGTGCTGGTGCTCTAGGGTGCTGGTGCTCTAGGTGGTGCTGGTGCTGGTCTTCAGATGGTGCTGGTGCTTCATGGTGCTGGAATGGTGCTCTAGGTGGTGCTGGTGCTCTGGGGTGCTGGTGCTGGTCTCAGAGTGCTGGTGCTCTAGATGGTGCTGGTTTCTAGGTGGTGCTGGTGCTCTAGTGCTGGTGCTGCTGCTGTCATGGTGCTGGTGCTCTAGGTGGTGCTGGTGCTCTGGTGCTGGTGCTCTAGGTGCTGGTGCTGCTGGTGCTCTAGGTGGTGCTGGTGCTCGGGTGCTGGTGCTCTAGGTGCTGGTGCTCTATGGTGCTGGTGCTAGGGGTGCTGGTGCTCTGGTGCTGGTGCTCTAGATGGTGCTGGTGCTAGATGGTGTTGGTGCTCTAGGTGGTGCTGGTACTCTAGGTGGTGCTGGTGCTTAGATGGTGCTGGTGCTCTAGGTGCTGGTGCTCTAGATAGTGCTGGTGCTGTAGATGGTGCTGGTGCTCTAGAGGTGCTGGTGCTCTAGGTGGTGCTGTGGTGCTCTAGGTGGTGCTGGTACTCTGGGTGGTGATGGTGCTCTAGATGGTGCTGGTGCTCTAGGTGCTGGTGCTCTAGATGGTGCTGTGGTGTGTAGCTGGTGCTGGTGCTGTAGATAGTGCTGGTGCTGCTAGGTGGTGCTGGTATGGTGCTGGTGCTGGTGCTAGATAGTGCTGGTGCTGCAGATGGTGCTGGTGCTCTAGGTGGTGCCAGGCTGCTGCAGATGGTGGTGCTCAGGTGCTGGTGCTCTAGATGGTGCTGGTGCTCTAGATGGTGCTGGTGCCCTAGGTGGTGCTAGGCTGTGTAGATGTGCTGGTGCTCTAGGTGCTGGTGCTCCAGATAGTGCTGGTGCTCTAGATAGTGCTGGTGCTCTAGATGGTGCTGGTGCTCTAGGTGGTGCTAGGCTGCTCTAGAAAGGTGCACAATGGACAGAAATACTACGTTTGTTGTGAAAACTTCTGGATGTACAATTTCATGACGTCAGAAGCTGTGAAAAAAAAATCATAATACCATGTTGGCTCTGACGTCATCAAATCAGTCACAATTGCCCCTCAACTCGCTGAAAACATCCCCGTAATTGCCCTTCTATAAAACCTCGTTACAGTGTCTTAATTGGTTATTGTTGTCGTGGTCAGTAAAAATAATGGTGGCACTCAGATTGAGACTTTATATATATTTTTCTGTTGTTAGCCCTCTGGGGAGTGAGTTCGACAGACAGACAGACAGACAGCAGTTGTTTACATTATATCTCTAAAGGTTTAAGTTGTACATATCGAGTTTTAAAAGGGCATTGTAATCTGGATATGGTAATTAATAATTATCAAAGTCCACAATAAAATGTCTAAAACTTAACACTTAACACTAAAATCCATTAAAAGTAGAAAATAAATAAATGATTAATTGGTTTTATATACAGAGTCTTAGCTTCCCCGTGTTACGTTTAGTCTCATAAGCCTCAGTAATTACTCTCAGTGTGTGTTTAAGCCTCAAAATACTTGTATACGAGTATATTAATTTTAAGTGTCAGTAACATCGTGTTCCTGGTTAGGTTAGGTTAGGTTAGGTTATTCGTGAAACTGAGTGTGATGTGTGTTTGTAGCCCCTGAGTCTGGCCCTTGATAGCTGATCTAGGGGTTTGGCTGTGTTAAAACTCACGTATGGAATCTAGACTAACGTAACCTATCCTAATGTAGCTTCTAACGCTTCTAACTTAAACCTAACCTAACGTAACCTAACACTATCAAAACTATCCTAACTGAGAGTACATTAATACTACGTCACCTATTCTAACTTAACGTACCTAACCTACCATAACCTAACCCGGTCCTAACTCCTACGGTTGACGTTATTTCAATCTTGATGATTATGCATGAAGAAAGAAAGAAAGAAAGAATGAATGAATGAATGAATGAATGAATGAATGAATGAAAGAAAGAAAGAAGGGTGTTAGTGGCGCTAGGGAGTGATTGAAGTAGAGGAAAGGGGAAAGAAGAAGGGGAGGAGAAAGGAAGAGAAGGGAAAAAAAGAAAAAGAGAAATAGCAAGAGGAGGAAAGGGAGAGAAAAAAGAAGGGGGGAGATAGAGGAGGAGAAAGATAGAGAAGGAAAAGAAGAGAAAGAAGAGGAGTGAGAGGAAAAATATAAGAAAGAATAGCAAGGAGGAGGAGGAATAAGAAAAAGAAGAGAAAAAGTAGTAGGAGGAAAATGAGGAAGAGGAATGAGACGAGGTGGAGGAGGGGATACCTAGGGTGATAGGTGATAGGGTATGAGCCTTATGATTGATGATGACAGGAGACGCTAGGTAGAAGGAGGGGGGGGGGGTAACGAAGGCGGAAGAGGAGGCTGGCTGGTCAGTGGTCATGACAGTAACTCAACACTGCCGGCAGCCCTGAAGGTCATTCACTGTACACTATTCGGATCACCTGGGTATTAGAGACCTTAGTTTATTTCACCTGATGATTAAATACCCTTACGCTAACCTAACCTAACCTAACCTAACCCAACCCAACCCAACCTAACCTAACCTAACCTAACCTAACCTAACCTAACCTAACCTAACCTAACCTCCTTGGGAACCTTAGGGTGTTTAATCGTGAGGTGAAATAAACTGGGTTGGCTATTCTTCAGGTGATCTTATTTTTCCTCGATGTTTGCGCCTGTTTCGAAAGTAAGAGAGCGCCACTGTGGGCAGAAGGCGGGCGAATGTTCGTCAGAGGATAAGAGAGAGAGAGAGAGTGAGAGGAGGGGGAAGAAGGTGAGGTGGTGAATAGGAAGTGAGTGAGACAGAAAGAGGGAGAAGAGATAGATGGTAATCCGCTATGATGGTCCCCGAGAGCTCAACACCCCCCCCCACCCTCTCCCCCCTCCCCTTCCCCCTCTCATCCTCCTATCAGTTTTATGGCCACAGGTCCTCCCCCGTCAGTGCCTTCTGCTGTACCCTCGTACATCATCACTCTCCCGTGTCATGAGGCTTTCAGGTTTATATTGGTTTTATCTTCAGTTAAACCCGTGTTGTATGGGTAGTTATGCTGGCCCCCTGGTCTATTGGTTTATGTTTATTTTAACCTAAATAAAACATGTCGTTAATTGTGTGATTGTATGATTATAATTATTTTGTGTTGGTCCGGTAACAGTAGACTAATGGAGGAATATGAGAGAGAGAGAGAGAGAGAGAGAGAGAGAGAGAGAGAGAGAGAGACGCAGCCTCAGCTACTGAATATATAAACGTTTTCTGTGAGAGACTCGTTCAGAGAGCATGGGAAGCTCCTTTATAGCTGGGCTCGTTGCCACCCTCCTGTAAATTTTCGAACATCCCGCCATTTCCTGAACAAATTTCAGTATTCAGCGAGACACGTTTTCCCATCGGTGTAAATTCGTGAGATTTTTTTTTTTCAAAACCCTTTTTTTGTGAGTTGAAAAATTAATGAACGTGGTAAGAAAAATATTTAGTTTTGTGGTCGCCAGCAACTGCGTGGGTGTTTGCAAGCTGAGTTGCTGCTCTCTTGAAGTGGTGAAGTAGCATGAGTGGGTGGGCGGTCGTAAACTGTGTTTTTGGCGTCCTTGCCATTGGTCAGTGTAACTCTCTCGGCTGTTGGCTGTTGGAGGGGGATTGGTCGATATTTTGGCCGGGTTGTAAGGTACATGATGATTGGTATTTGGTATATTATATCTTGTTTTATTGTGAACTTGTTGCGAAGGAGGTGAGATGGGGGTGAATTAAAGGTAAAATATGCAGTGCAAAGGAGAAAGTTTCTTGGATTTAGAGTACTGTACTGTACATGTGCGTGGTCATGGCAGTGCCCTTTTATCATAGACGATATTGTACAATTCTTAGGATTATAGTCAATGTACCTAAAAAAGCAACAGATCCGTTGACTACGAATGTTTGGGTGCGCTGGTAGCTCTTTGTCACCCGTGTTGCTGTACGTTAGTGTTGACATTATTAACTTTAGGGTTGTATTGTTATGTTTCCCCTCCACTGACTCCAGACGGCGTGGCATTATTACCACTGTGACATTTCAACGACGCTACGCTGTTAAAGCGGCACCAAAGCTGCTGTATAACTATGGCTTCAAGGCCGTGGTATCGTATTTACGGGCTTAGTACCATTACTACGTGTTTAGAGTTTAATGGTGCATTTATACTGAAAAGTGGCACCTTTATATCGGATTAGCTCGTCCCCATAATGGCACCAAGATAAAGTATTATTTTAGCGTCATGGGACCTGACGACTTACCTTGACATCATGTATTGGTACTACGGTATATCGTTAGGCACCTTGACAACCATAATTGACATAAGGAATTGGCACTGTACATTCAGACATCATTACTTAGTCTGAGTTAAGCAACCGTGATAGTATGGCGCAGAATAAGTTAGAGGTGAGTGTGACCATGTGCCAGGGCTGCAGTATACCCTGTAGTGCAGGTGCTGTACCCTGCTGGTGTACTGCTAACATGATTCGCACACCAGCTCTCAACTGCTGGAGGTCCAACTTTAATACCTGAGACCATTTCTTAATAAGTAGGACCATCCCCTGCCTAAATAAGTCTTGGGACCATCCCCTGCCTAAATAAGTCTTAGGACCATCCCCTGCCTAAATAAGTCTTAGGACCATCCCCTGCCTAAATAAGTCTTAGTACCATCCGTTCATATGTTGACAGTCCTGCCTTGATGAGTGTACACTGTAGACCAAGGGTTTAAAACGATTTGTCCGGGTGTTGTGTGTGGCTGAGGTGTAACCAATCTTCTTCTTCTTCTTCCCTACGTCACACGGGTAATTCTTCGTCAGTTGCCTCTCAAGACAGTTTAAGGTGAACTCATCCCACGCTCACTTGCACCACCATATTACTTTACTGAGCTCTCTTGCCTCCTTGTGTGTGTGTGTGTGTGTGTGTGTGTGTGTGTGACAGACAGAAATAGATCGAAATGTAATAATCAGTATCGTGTGTGTATAGAAGAGTGAGTGAGTGAGTGACATTATTTTGATGCTGTGAGTCAGTCTTGTTACCATGTGATAAATTTGGATCGCCCGCCTCTTCGTTAGGTCATATAATATTCCCAGGTACAATTAATTGTTGTACCGGAATAGATCTGACACGTTGGTGGGCAGGTCACGTCAAGTTACACTACCTTGTTAACTCGGTCACAGGTCCCTGGTGACGACACTGACGCTCTACTGTCCTCAAATACGTCTTGATGTTGAGATATGGAGATGTAATTACTCCAGGTGAGGGAAGTACACGTATGCTAAGCTTTGTTTACTGTCGCTCGGAAGGGAAGTGAAAATGTGTTTGTCAGTGAATTTTGGCCATTTTGAGATCTTTATACCTGTATATGTTCGTGTGTCTGTACCTGTATGTGTTATCTCTACCTGTATGTGTACCTGTATCTCTACCTGTATGTGTACCTGTATCTCTACCTGTATGTGTACCTGTATCTCTACCTGTATGTGTACCTGTATCTCTATCTGTATGTTTACCTGTATCTCTACCTGTATGTGTACCTGTATCTCTACCTGTATGTGTACCTGTATCTCTATCTGTATGTGTACCTGTATCTCTACCTGTATGTGTACCTGTATCTCTACCTGTATGTGTTATCTCTACCTGTATGTGTACCTGTATCTCTACCTGTATGTGTACCTGTATCTCTACCTGTATGTGTACCTGTATCTCTACCTGTATGTGTACCTGTATGTATCTCTACCTGTATGTGTACCTGTATCTCCTATCTGTGTGTGTGCCTGTATCTGTATGTGTACCTGTATCTCTATACCTGTATTGTACCTGTATCTCTACCTGTATGTGTGTACCTGTATCTCTACCTGTATGTACCTGTATCTCTATCTGTATGTTTACCTGTATCTCTACCTGTATGTGTACCTGTATCTCTACCTGTATGTGTACCTGTATC